CTTTAAGCTCCAGAAATACACAAATACGTTTCCCTTCCAGTGCCTATGAAACTAGAATGCACAGAAAAATCGGAATAGACACACAAACATTAATTTCTGTTGCTTTATAAAAATCTCATTAAATCTGCCTGAAATGTTTTAGCTTTGGGATAACACTTAACGTAGTGAACCGAAGGTTTATAAAGCTCCATTAGCAGTGTCTTTGGTGGCAGCTGAAAAGCTCCTGTTGATTGTTTCCCAAGTTTCCGAAAGACAGAAAAGCAGACACTATTATACAACAATCATCACTCTTGAACAGACAGCCACAGAGGTAGTCCATCAATCACAGCCATGTGTGTGCAGTCCAATAAATATCTCTCTAAAAAACCATTGCATTCGCTTCGCAGGCAGACTTTCAAGACGAATACTCATATTTTGAGACAGCCGATCATCGGAAGAGACAATACTGATCTGATGCTGATTTCACAGCCATCAGCCTAATGTCTCTCATACAACAAAAAACGAAAAAGCTGCGTGTTTAAATGAGGGAAACGGCAGGGTTTGCTGTAGCGTGCTGAAATGTGAAGAGTCCCGTGACAGTCCCGTGATGCTCTGTTATTGAGTTAGGCTTCCTGCGGGACGTGACCGTTGGTCAGCGGCTGGTTTAGAGCTTGATTCTCAACAGGAGCGTGTCTGTTCGCTTTTCCTCCGGCCTTCGTCTGAAGAAGCTGTCTGCGATGGTAGAACAAATACCCCGGCAACAGGAAACCGGCCAATGAGAGGACCAGAAGCCCCACATTGATCTGATGGGATAAATTTAGCATCTTATTAGTCATTGAAAATACGCATAAACAGAAGCCTACATAGGCAGCTATACCTTTCAAGACAGTGTCCCGCTGTGTAATGGCTACTACATTTGTGACCCTGGAGCACAAAACCAGTCAGTTTGTAGCAATAGCCAACAATACACTGTATGTGTCAAAATGATAAATGTTTCTTTTATGCCAAAAATCATTAGGATATTAAGTAAAGATCATGTTCCATGACGATATTTTGTAAATGTCCTACTGTAAATATATCAAAGCTTAATTTTTGATTAGTAATATGCATTGCTAAGAACTTCATTTGGACAACTTTAAAGGCAATATTTTGATTTTTTTGCACACTCAGATTCCAGATGTTCAAATAGTTCCAAATATGGTCCTATCATAACAAACCATACATCAATGAACTGAACAAAGTTCAATTACAAAAATGGACTCTTATGACTGGTTTTGTGGTCCAGGGTCACATTTGGTTTCAATCTTCACGACTTTTAAAAATCATGTTCTCTATAGTATTATTATAATATTTTATTGATACAGTTTGGAGTCTAATTTTAGAAAAAATAAATGTATTCTTTTATTCAGCAAGGATGCGATGACGGTAAAGACAATACATTGTTACAAAATATTTCTATTTAAAATAAATCCTGTCAACATGACCAAATCAGCATATTAGAATGATTTCTGAAGATCATGTGACACTGAAGACTGGAGTAATGATGCTGAAAATACAGCTTTGATCACAGAAATAAATTATATTTTAACAGATATTAAAACAGCTATTTTAACTTGTTATAATGTTTCACAATATTATGTCTTTTTTAACAAAAAAAAATGCAATCAGTTCAATTAATGAAAAAAAAGTATTTTGTGCATCTCGACTTGTCAATCATTTTACACAGTATTTCTAGTTATCTTACAGTGAGTGCACTCATCTTAGAAGATCAGTTTGCTGCTTGCAACTGAAATGATGTCTAGTTAGGTAGCTCACTTAATTTTTAGTTCTAGCTTTAAATATGAACTGCTGAGAGGAGAGTACAACCAAACACTGTGTAACACAGACTACCGCAGTGTTTGTTACTCATCATTCTCGTTATGTGCTAAATTGCGCATCCCACGGAGTCCCAATGCAGCGCTCAGGATCAAACGAATATTTGTCAACAATTTATGTCGACTAATCCTTTCAGTCCTAAATGCAAAAGATACAAATGTGCATTTCTTACCCAGTAAGCATCTCCGTTCAGAGTTCCCAACATAACCATGAAGAGAGGCTGCTGCAGCAGAGCCACCACTGCACTGATCATAGACTGCAGCCCGGTTAGTGTGCCAAAATGATTAGATGGGTACCTGTGAGAGAGAGACATATGTGACCCTGGAGCACAAAACCAGTCATAAGGGTCCATTTTTTGAAATTTAAATGTATGCATCATCTGAAAGCTGAATAAATAAGGTTTCCATCGATGTATGGTTTGTTAGGATATGACGATATTTGGAACTATTTGAAAATCAGGTGCAAAAAAATCTAAACATTGAGAAAATCGTCTTTAAAGTTGTGCAAATGAAGTTCTTAGCAATGCATATTACTAATCAAAAATTAAGTTTTGATATATTTACAGTAGGACATTTACAAACTATCTTCATGGAACATGATCTTTACTTAATATCCTAATGATTTTTGGCATAAAAGAAAAATCTATAATTTTGACCCATACAATGTATTGTTGGCTATTGCTACAAATATACCCCAGCGACTTAACACTGCTTTTGTGCTCCAGGGTCACAATTAGTTTGTCTCAAGTCTGCACACTTCTTAATACTGAGATTGTAATGAAGCGCTGTGGCATTTAAAGGACAGGTCAAAGGCGTATGTGTGATTTGGTTATAATCCATGTTACTGGGTCTGAGTTTTACACACACTATACTTCACACACAAACAGGGCAAACCTGATCCAGTCAAGTGCAGCTTTATAACCATCTGATTTGATAAGTCTGTACTTGCCAGTGCGACTGAACAACAGGTTTAGCGGAAGCCAATAAACAGATACTTGAATGTGTGTACTGTATATGTGTTTATACTCACACAGCAGCATACAGTCCTCCACAACACGAGTGAATGAAACCTCGCACCATAGTGTGCAAAATAAACGTCAGAATCTGGACAAAGAGAGCAAGAGTTACAAGCACATTCCCATCTACTGCAATTAAGACCATTCTTACACAAGTACACTTGTGCCAAAGATAAAAAAAAAGAAATTAATAATTTTAAGGCCCATTCACACCACAAACAACAACTAATATTGTTGTTTATTACAAGCGTGCACTGCATTCATTCATCAGCTGAAAAACAAACAAACAAACAACATCATTCCTCTGTGCTTTCACTGTAATATCTGTCACGTTGACTCTGCTATTCTATGTTCAGAACGATTTTTTAAACTATATCTTTATTGGGTAACACTTTGTTTTAAGGACCAAATCTTACTATTAACTAGCTATTAGCATGCACATTACTAGTTACAGTATTACTGTAGTAATTAGTATTACTGTGTGTATTACAATTAGTATTAAAGTGTGACCCTTTATGGTTATAGTTATCATCCTTGGTGTGAACAGGCCTTTATTAAGCAAGAATGGATCAAATTAATAAAAAAGTGGCAGTAAAGACATGTAGAATTGCTGTCAAATAAATGCTGTTCTTTTGAACTTTCTGTTTCTGAAAGAACCCCGAAAAACTGTATCATGTTTTTCACAACAATAGTAAGCAGCACATCAGTTTTCAGCATTAATAAATGTTTCGGTTTTGCCATCACAGGAAAATTATTCATTCATTAAAAAAATAATAATAATAAAAATCAAATAGAAAACAGTTACAGTTTTTTTTACTGTATGTTTAATCAAATAAACGTGATATTGCTGAACATAAAAGTATTCTTTCAAAAATATATTTTTTTATAACTTAACTTTCGAACTGTATATGCAATAATACTGGAAAAATCAATCAAACCACTGACAATATGTTTTACTTAAGTCTGCTTCCAGTGCAGCTTTATAGACGAATTAAACTCATTCCATAATTCATTATCCTTACACAGTTATTAAACCGAACTGAATCAACAATGACTTAAAAAAAATGGACTGTTTGCTATTGTCCTCTTTTTAGAGCTGCTGTATTTTCCTGTTTAACACTGTAAAGCTGCTTTGACACAATCTGTACTACACAAAGCTCTATAGAAACAAAGGTGACTTGACTGAGTTTAATCAGGTTGTTACCTGTAGAGGCAGGTTGTCTACGAGTGAGAGGACACCAAACAGAATGAGCAGCACATTAGTTAAGATGAAGGCTCTCATGGCATTGGTCAGCTTCTGGATCTTTCTGTCACGCTTCGGTACTGAAACAACTCTGGCAGGAGACAAGACGTCAAGATGATCTCACACAGAAGCATCAGGAGATCGTTTGTTCGGTTGCTTCTACATATAAAATATGGCTTGTCACTTTCTTTTAAGGTGTCATTGTTATAGTGTAATTATATATTTAAGTACTGAGTAATATTAATTAACTACATGTACTTACTATATGTGAGCCAGGAGCACAAAAGCAGTCATAAGTCGCATATTTGTAGCAATAGCCAACAATGTATTCTATGGGTCAAAATTATCGATTTTTATTTATGCCAAAAATCATTAGTTTATTTATGTAGCACATTTTATGCACAATGGTAATTCAAAGTGCTTTACATAAAATAAAGTAAAATAATCATTAAAAAAATAATTTAAAATGTAATATTATTTAAATTTAAAAACTTTTAAAATGATTCAAAAATTTATTTAAAATGAATTAAAACAGTTAACAGTAGAAAATTATTATACATAAAATACAGTGCAATCAATTAGGATATTAAGTAAAGATCATGTTCCATGAAGATATTTTGTAAATGTCCTACTGTAAATATATCAAAACTTAATTTTTGATTTGGGTCACAATATGGTTAGGGTTACTTGCATGTAATTATACATAATTAATTGCTATTATAATAGTAAGTACATGTAACATGTGTAACAAGGACACTTGAAATAAAGTGTTACCTAAACATGTTATTACTGAGAGCAGAAGAACTTGAATTTCTTACTCTTTTTCTCCCCGGCGCACCGTCTTCTGATCCACCTCACACTCTTTCATCTTCCAGTCCATGATGTATCCGATCAGAGGACAGGTGACCAGACACAAGAGCTGCAGCGTGCCAAAGACGGACGAGTAGAAGCTCACTGGAAGTTCAAATGCATGCATTCATCATGCTCAGATTGCCCTGAAACGTTCTCGCTTTCATTCACAATTACATTTACGACTATTAAACTAACAAAGGTTCATCTCACCGTTCTCCTCAGCCTCATGCACCAGTTCTTTAGAGGCTAAACGAGACAGAAACACATTATGAGTCAGCTGAACAGAGAGCAGCGTGAATGAATATTAGGGCTGGGTTTTGACACAAATTTCACGATTCGATTCAATATCGATTATTTTGGATATATATATCAGGTACAGTACATGCCAAATTTTCTCAAGGGAAAAAAAACTCAACTAATGCTGTAAAACATACATGAGTCAGTTGGTACTAGCTACATTACTATAATATTGAAGGTTAAAACTGATTTGTAGGCTACACAGCTGCTAAAATGACACTTTTACATTTTTTTTAAATAATAAAGTTATTATTTAAATGTAAACATTTATAATAAACATTTAAATGGTGGCGGTCATAACACTTGATGGATTTATTGAAACATAAATTAAACACTGAAGCACAGTAAAAATTATAAGGAAGATGTTATATGGTGCATATATTTAGCAACATGCCCCTCATAAGTGCCCTTCAACATTCCGTCCATTAACTGAAACAGGCTAGAATGATAGATTCTTGGGATTTAAGAATCGATATCGTTCCGTAAAAATGAGAATCGATTAATATCGAGATATCTATATTTTTTACCCAGCCCTAATGAATACAGTGATAAGGTCTAGGTTTTGTAGCTGGGCTTACGGTGCTCCTCTCCGTGGATGACCAGGAACTCCAACATCTTGTTCATGGCTCCCATAAAGAAGATGATTCTCAGCTGAGTCATTCCCATAGTGACCAGACTCCACAAAAAGATGGGAGAGAACACGGAGTGCCGGAACGGGACAGAAGCTGAGAAACAGATTTCCAGGAGTTCGTACGTTATATTTCACATCATCAGCTACACGTTCACACAACCGTAACAAACGGCCTCAAAATGTATCACTCCGTCTCAAGGTGTCTCACCTTGTGCGTCCTGAGCTACAGCCGGCAGTTTCTCTGCTTCTCCCGTCGCCTCTTCAGACCATACTTTGTGGTTTTCGGTTGAATGCATCTTTTTCCTACTAAATGGTTGCAAAAGGAATTATTGTTCAGAAATCAAGACTGTTTCCTGCAGTCTTCATATTAAAGGATTACATGCTAATCTGGATTATGTAATCAGATTCCCAAAAATAAGTACTATTAAAATCAGACTGCAGTTACTTTTTTATCGATTACGTGATTACGTTTATCGTTTCTCCATAATTCCTCTTTTTCATCTTTTAAATGTTCCTTTCTAATATAACCTACAAATGACATACAGGTAAACAAATAAAATATTTCATTTTTTTTAAGTAAGTGTTTTATTCCAATTGTTGTAATTAAAAAAAACAAACAAACAGTTACATTACATTGTCATTTATTATAAATGACTAATATATCAAAACATATTTTAATTCTGTATTTTAATTTTATTATAGACGTAACATTATAGCAAAACTAGTGCTGTCAAATGATTAATCGTGATTAATCACATCCAAAATAAAGGTTTTTGTTTACATAATATGTGTGCTGTGTTTATTTATTATGTATATATAAATACACAAACATACAGTATATATTTTGGAAATGTTTACATGTATATGCATTTATATATTTATATTATTATATTTTACATTATATATAAATATATTTAATATATAAACATAACATATTTTTCTTAAATATATACATGCATGTGTTTGTATTTATATATATACATAATAAATATACACAGTATACACACATATATTATGTAAACAAAAACTTTTATTTTGGATGCGATTAATCGTTTGGCAGCACTAATCAAAACGTATTTTAATTTTACATTTTTATAATTCAATTATTAGCTTTTTGTTTAACTCACTCCCAGATTGGGAAACCTTGATGTAATTTTTAATGCACTTTATGTTATTGCAACATTACAATGCATGGAATATATTTTCTTTCCTTTTGTATTTTTATATAAAGATGATCCTATTTAAATCAATGTGATAGACGAGTTATTAGTGACATTGTGTTTCTGTTTTCAGAATATTTGAGTTATCTTTGATATATGTTAACAGGATTTGTACTAACATCTCAATCTCTTCTTGTGTAGCAAAGCCTTCTGCTGGCCAGTTCAGAAAACAGTTGAGAAAGACCAGAGCTGCCAGGCCGGCCCACATCCACATGATGACAGTAAACGACACCCCGGCATCATATATCAGCTGGAGAAAGAGAGACATGATGAGTTTTTTCCATTTGTATGACACGCTTGATTAAATGGCGGAAAAAAAAAAAAAAAAAAAGTAGAAATTAGCATGAATGATTTGTCAGTCATTTTTGCACTATACATGTATTTGTGGATTTAAATAAAGTGATTTTTTTATTGTGTGTTTGCTGTGTTTTTGTGATCAAGTTGAATATTACCTTGCTGCAGTAAGGACATTCTCCAAACACAATATTGAAGCTTTGGCGACTGGTGGGCAGACCTCTCAGCCACTGTGAAGACAAATAACTCAAAAGATGAAATAAATACTATCAATTAAAAACTTCAGAAAATTGCATACTGGTCTCAGCATGGTAATCTACGATTGTTCTGTTGTTTACAATACTGTTAAACTTTATTGCATCTGGTTGACGGTAGAACATCATGGCCTTAATATCATCTATTCTTTACAGTCATACAGACACAGTGACACTGCCCATTTTAAAATAGGTCAATATGTACAGTACACTATCATTAAGGAGTTTGGGGTGTGTAAGTATTTTTTTTTTCCCAAAGAAATTACGTCTATTCAGCAAGGATGCGTTAAATTGATCAAAAGTGAAATTAAAGACATTTAGAATGTTTCAAAAGATTCCATTTCAAATAAGCGCTGTTCTTTTGAACTTTCTATTCATCAAAAAAAACTGAAAAACAAAATGTATCACAGTTTCCACAAAAATATTGTGCAGCACAACCGTTTTCAACATTGATAATAATCAGAAATATTTCTAGAACAGCAAATCAGCATATTAGAATGATTTCTGAAGGATCACGGGACACTGAAGACTGGAGTAATGGTGCTGAAAATTCAGCTTTGATCATGTTTTAAAATATTACAATAGAAAACAGTTTAAATTGTAATAATATTTCACAATCGTACGGTTTTTACAGAATTTTTGAATAATGAATGCAGCCGTGGCAATGAATTATACACTCAAAATAGAACACTTACATGATCTTAATTTTGATTAAAGAAATTATTCTGAAAACACCAATGTTCACTCTTTAGACTAACATTATAACATCAGACGTCTTTGAAATAAAATGAATTTATATTTGATTGTACATAATCATAGCTCAAAACCTTTAGCTTAACTGCTTTTATAGCAGTTTAAGGTGATGAGTTCAGTTTCATTCAATCTGATGCAACATTTCATCAGAGGCTTTAATTCCAAGCACACTGTACACGTCAAACAGGTTTAACCTTTATTTACACAAAAAATACCTTGACTCCAGGGAAGGTGACAGCCGATGAAGCGTAGGAGCCGATCATCAGTGACAGCACAGTGGAGCTCAGACTTCCAAACATGTTTGGCAGCTACCAGAGGAAGAGAGGAAAAGCACATCTTTATCTGTATTGGAAAAATCATAAATGCAGCTGAGCCTACACTTGCAAAGAACAAAAACAGGAAGGAAAACTAGATTGTTATATTTTCTGAAAACAATGAGCGCATCCATGGAAAAACTCACCACCTTGATACTAAGGCATCTGGGTGGTCGCTTAATTGCTCAAATCAAGTGTCAAGTGAACATCATGCCTAACCACAAGTATGAGCAATAGTGATGCCCGACTTAAACATCACTAATTAAGTGTAAAATGAACGTGAGAAATATTAATGCTTCAGTAAGCAGGAAGTCCTGCTGTGGATTGTGGATATGAATAAAATTTGTTTTCCACATTTTCCATGAATTTCCAAGCAGTGCTTCGTTTTTTCCAGACTCTTACAGGGATGTGTGAGTGTGTTTTACTCCCCTTTGTGAAATGAGAAGGTTAAAAACACACACTTCTGTGATAACGCACATTTGTACTTCCTTGTGCTTTTCACACACAAACACAGAGTGGCATAACAACCTCAAACCTGAACTTGTTACAGAAGGCTGCACACCTTAAACACCAGTACAGTATCCAAAGCAATGTTATTTATTTTTTACAGATGCTGTTCACGGCATCAGTTATGTTTATTGCAAGTATCAACTTTATCTCAGATGTTTCTCATAAACTTCCTCATAAAAATATAAATGGACATGAAGACAATTACTGACGAAGTAAGAGTATATGGCAAAAGCTATAAAATTACTGTGGATAGCATAGCTCAGATCACATAGAATGAGACAGAGTTAAAGCGGTGTGTCATTGGCACAGCAGTGGTAGGAAAAACTCATGTGCCTGGTTGATAGATGCCAGCGATGTTATATATACTGAAAAGAGGAAGGGACCCAACATAAAACCTTGAGGTACACCAATGGTAATTTGATCTTGAAAGAATTTGATAAAGAAAAGTTAAGGTTCATATTACAGAGGTACATAAAAAAGGTACATACAAAAGACAATTATTGACAAAGTAGGGATATATAGCAATAAAACCTACGACATTACTGTGGATAGCATTGCTCAGATCACATGGAATGAGGCTGAGAGGTAAAGCGGTGTCTCAACGGCACAGCAGTGGTAGGAAAACTCATGCGCCTGGTTGATAGATGCCAGTGACGTTATATATACTGAAAAGAGGAAGGGACCTAACATAGAACCCTGAGGTACACCAATGGTAATTTGATCTTGGAAGAATTTAATAAGAAATGTTAAGGTTCATATTAAAATATCTGAATTCTGATTTCAGACTTTGTTTTTTTTTTTTGAAAATCTAAGCACAGTGTGAGACTGCTAGGTGTGAGGTTCGTGATGCCCTTCGCTTAGAAGAAACATCTAAGAAGGAGAATTAATCAAAAGTTTCCATTTGCTCTCACCTTAATATCACTGACTAGGACAAATAGTTAAGGGATTAAAGAGATCTCATTTGTGATTGGTCATTCTTATGGGTACTGAGGTTCCTTACTAATTTAGAGGAACTGGAAAAAACACAAAGTCATGGAGGTCATTGGCTTGCTGAGTTCAGATAACATCAAAACTCCCAAAAAAGTGTAAATAAAGTGATCAGAGCAATATCAGTAGCTATTTTCTCCATACTGGTAGTAATGCACTGTTAACAAAGACACAGAGCGTGTGCTTTTATCAGAATTTTACAACAGGATGTCACTGAAATAATAAAGCAGTGTTTGTTGTCACATGTAGGGCAGTGTGCATGCATACCTGAGCTGCTCTAGTTGAGCCATGTGTATGCACAAGGATAAGTGTGTGTTGGCATCTGCATGATAGCGGTGGGCTATCTGAGGGCAGCTGATATATATATATATATATATATATATAGTCATTCTTTCCCACACCAGGTGATTTCACTAAACAAATTGGAAATTCACAATCTGTTTGTTGATGAGTGTGGGTACAATGTCTGTGCCCTTGTCTGTTTCAACTGGAGGTTGATGAGGGCGTAAGAGAAGGCGTGTGGGCAGTTTAGCCTTCTGATTGGTGGGCACAGAAAAAGCCAGAATTTCTCCTTCAGTCATGTGCGTTGATCCTTTGCCTGCCCCAAACACATAAATACACACACCCACACACCTGTCCAGAAAAAATAAACTTCAAAAAGCTTTGTGTGACAGCTGCACCACAAAACATGCAAGTCACCATAGGTGTCCACGACCCCATGTGCTCCCTTCTCAACCATTTTTTCTTTTTTTCTTACCGTGAGAGATGTGAAGGTCAGACAGATCCCTCCGAAGCCGTTGAGTGAAAGAGCCAGAAAAATGAGAGCAGAGAGGACTAGAACAAAAGGTGCAAACCATCATTACACAATCAAAATGTGTGCTTGAACAACTCAAAACTGTTGCAATGACTTTGATATGACAAATCAAATTGTATGTGTCTTCTGTATACAGTAGCAAACATATAAATTCTACATTTGCTACTAAATGCAGCATTTGATCTGGGTATGGCTGTGAATGTTTATGAACATTTTAAACAAAATTTACTTGTACAAAATTTACATTTTAATATTTGAAAAGAAAATTCAAATTACGTTCTGCTGCCTGCACATTTTAATTCACAAAATTGGTCAAATAATGGATAATTAATTGTCCCTGCAAATATATTGTTTTGTCATTACTCTTTTTTTCAAAAGCAGCAACAATCAAAAAAAAATTTTGTAATTTTAAGTAGAACAATTATTATTCCTTCTGGAAAAAAAAAGAAAAAGAACATTTTAATTTGCCAAAATGTGAAATTTCTGAATATAAATTTAGTTCTTTTTATTCAGTTAATTGAAATCCTATTAACAGTTGATTACTAAAATAGTCTCTATTGACTTTCAATGTTTTTAATTTTAAATGTTTTGAAGAAAAAAAAAAAAAACTCCAGTAATTATTGACTGATTGATCGATTATAGCTGTAATTTGAAGACTCGTGCACATTCTTTGTGTATTTTTGTTTGCAGCTCACCTTCTGGTTGATATGATGATATGGACATAATCACGCAAGAGAGCGCAAAACACGCACTAAGAAAAAAAAATACAAAACATGAAAGATTATTAAAGAAACGCACATACTTAAATGTGAAAGTGCTCTTATATGCACATATTAGTCAGTGCTTTGAAATGCACAAAGTCATGCAGAGATTCCATGACTCAAGTGCATTCTTAAAAAAATGCGTTGCTTCCTGATGGAGTGTTGGCACTGTGATCTAAAACATGCACAGCACTTGAAGCATTAATGTGTAGGCTTGTCTTCACCTTCCAGTAAGGCGAAGAGGCCTGGGGCCATACCGGTCCATCAATATACCCAGTGGCAATGTGGCAGCACTGAGCAGGAATGAGCCAATGGTGAAGCCCAAGTTCAGCATTTCTTCCTGTTCCACACAACTCAGCCAATCATCTGGTGCGCTAGCGTTCACACCCTCAGTCTTATTTTCTACAGAAAGAGAGAGAAAGGAGGTCAATGAAAGCAAGAGACAGAGACTTTATTAAGTTTTAAAGTCTCCATGCAGTTCAAGTTTCCCAGCGACTCCGGCTCGGTTTTCTTTCGGTGCTAGTTAGTGACCTGTGGTGTGATGCTTGTGATCTGCTTGACTTCTATGACTGATTACCTGTGCACAGGTGGGAGTAAAAGCCCTGTCCTTTGAGCATGATGAGCAGAGAGCCCCAGCCCAACAGCACGGCCGAACACGACAGATTCTCCAACACGGCTGTGACGGCCATCCACCAGCGCCTCCTGTACGCCTGCAACAGAGACGGAGCCATCCTCCTATCAGACAGAGAAAAAATGAGTGTCAAAGCTCTGGCAGAAAACACACAGTGGCATATTTGAAAAATATATACAGTTTCTGAAGGCAATATTCTGCTTTAGCAAACTACATTTTTAACCCAATAAAGTTTTATGTATATAGATAGATGGATAGATAGATTGTGTAAATGTGTGCAATTTCTACATGTGACGTATGAATTCCACTCCACAATCATTCTGGTATAATATAGTTACACAAATATATATATATGTTTATATTTATATATCAGAGAACAGTGACCTGAGAGAAATGTTAAATCGATTGAGAAAAACTGTAATAGAAAGTTTATGTGAAATAGGAATCTTTTCTAACATTATAAATGCTTTTAAAACCAACACCCATGAATCTTCATCAAATCTCTGGGATTTATTTAGTGTGAGACGTAAGAGAGAGACACTTCCTAACATTTGCTACAACCAACACACGCAAAACCTTCCTCTAAACAGGAGGTGTGCCCAACCGATTTGCATGCGCTCTTTGCGAAACCACTCGCAATAAAAACCACAATCACACGTGCTTTGTTGTATCACAAATTTGAACCCTTAGTTTCGTTATTAAATCAGAACCTGCATCTGAAAGGCATGAGAAATGTGTATCCTCTAATTCTAGTAGAGATAATATAAGTTTTCTTCAAATGAGTCCAAGTTTTTGTTTGTAAACGGGTCAATTATCCCATGACATGACTGAAAACGATCGGTCATTATAACTCGGATAACCAAAACACTCACACACACACATACACACACACACACACACACTCTCTCTCTCTCACACACACACACACACAGTAAATACAGAAAGAGAGAGATATCAGAGTGCGGGCGGGAAACACAGGCAATACAAGAGATATATAGAAAGCAGACAGAAGAAACGGCCAGGATCTCAGCAGGACACAAGCGTGTTGTGTTTAATACGATTAGACACAGTCCACTAGACGTCTTTGTCCTCAAATGCTGAGCTTACAGATGGATTTTTTTGTAACTTGTGCGGTCTATTAGGGCACGTGCTCAAAATAATTGAGCACCATTCATATTCTCCAGAATGAAGAAAAGCAGGTCTGACAATGGTGGAAATCCATCAGCATTTCCAAAGATCACAGTTTTTCGTTTTTCACGTTTCAGTCGCACATGTGTGTTTGTTTACAGTATGCATGAAGACGGTTTTGCCATCTTGTGTTTAGTAAAAACATCAGGCATCTACTGTAATGTAAACTCTTGGCATAGAGGTCTGCAAGCCACATTTCACACATTGCACAGTTAAAAAGTAACTATTAACAGCTCCGTCCACTGAGTTGCTCGACTGCCGTTCAGTGTGTTTGTTTAAAGGGGACCACTAATGTCCTCTAATGTTAGGTACGTCTGTTTATCAGTCCCTATGAGCAGAGACATGGCGGATGGCCCCTAAGAAATGCTTGTTTTGGCCCCGGGCCCAGTGAAGGTTCATCAGTGACCCTGTGTGTACATATGAAAGAGCAGACACGCCTCTCTATAAATGTTTATAAGCAGAAAATGTTTTATAATGAAGTTCAGGTTTAAAAGTCTTGAGAGCATTTCAAGTTTAACATATTAAGTGTGCCCTTAAACTTTCCATTTGTGTCCTCTCTCCATCTATGCCTGACCCCGAGTGACCCTCGCCAAAAAGCAACATGTCACCATTTATTCCTGTCTTCCCCACATTCAGTCTAGTGACCATGCTCTGGTGAAGAATTAAATTAATGGCTCTGGTAATAATGGAATCAACTCTTTTTGTGCGGTTAGGTGGTGAAGAATCAAATCTTTAAATGGCTGAATCTTCCATGTTCACAGTAACCAAATCGAGTATTTGCGAATCTTTTTTAATGGCTGGAATAAAGACCTTTAAAATCTGAACAGACTGTAAATCAGAGCAATGCAAAGAAAAAAGTCAGAAATGTGAGATATAAACTCAGAATAGACAGATTTTAACTCACATTTCTGAGAAGAAACGTCAGAATTGTAATAAACAAAAAAAGTCGCAATTACTTTTATTTCGTGGCGGGAAAAAAACAGAATTGCGATTTGTAAACTCAGAATTTTGAGGAAAAAAGTCAGAATTGTGAGATATAAACGCAGAATAGATAGATTTTAACTCACATTTCTGAGAAGAAAAGTCAGAATTGTAATAAACAATAAAAGCCGCAATTACTTTTATTTCGTGGCAGGAAAAAAACAGAATTGCGATTTGTAAACTCAGAATTTTGAGGGGGAAAAAGTCAGAATTGTGAGAAGTCGCAACTATCTTCTTTCTTTATGCTTTTTTCATTGGGCGGCGTAAACAGGCTTCCACAGAATTCCACTTTGATCACAAACAATATAATCATATAATTCGGTTCCCACGTGTTCGCTGGTATTAATCGAATCGATTACTCACTGTAGATCTGTGAGTCACTAAACAATGGAAATGGCCTGCGTCCCGATGTGCATACAACCCATCCTAGATTCTATGTGATGCTATTAGTAATTTTCAATACGATTTAGACCAGATAGGGTGGATAGTAAGCACATTGGGACGCAGGGATGGTTTCCTGCTACATGTGAACCCTTTCCGGAACCCAAAACGCTCTCCATTTCCCCTGAGGACTAAGGCTTGGTTTTCTCGGCGTGTCCCAATGAGAAACAACGCCAGACTTTCTTAAGTCTATTAAACAAACACAAACTTTTTCCTCAGCCGGAGCTCGAGACGCTCAAGATCGCGCCATATGCTGCCCACAACGACAATAAACCATGCCATCCACAATACAGCCAGTCTAAACTAGAACGTTAGCTCATGTAAAAGACACCTGAGCTCGTTTAAAACACTAAACATGGGCATTTCCAGTTTATAGAAAAAAAGAAATATGTGAAAAGCGCGAAAACACAGAAACCATTCAACTCAAAGAGTCAGGACATCGCCACGTGTCTTACTGTATTTGTACAGTAAGTTACCAAAGTCTCTATTTACACTCATGAACCCATCAAACACAAAACGAGTGTTTGTCCCTACAGCCAGTATTATTATTTATCTTATCTAAAACTAACTGTAGTAAGCATTTAATTCAATTTAAACAACTTACTTCATTTTTTGTGCAATTTTTCAAATGTCAGCCGTGCGTTATTTCCTGGCTTTCTTCTGTTCAAGAAAACCAAAAGATAAATACTACAAATTCTTCTGTTGCCGCCAAAGTCGAGTTTATCTGGCCTGAGCTTCTGTTTCTCGAGTCTTTCTTCAGAGCAGCAGGCAAAGATCTCAGAAGCCTTCTTATTAACCTCTCATATTTAACAGTGATCCCTCACTCTCCTCTTTCCACTGGTTGTTAGAGACAGACGCTCGTTTGTGACTTGCATTGAGGGCGTACACTATTAACACACAGTCCTTGTTCCGAAATCAGTTGTTAACATTATAAGTCAATATTATCATGCCCTTAAGTAACGCATTTACCACAATAGTTGCATCAGATATTAATGCACTGTGAAATCATTCATTAAATCAGGATATTCCTTAAATATCATGAGTGTAAATATTTTTATTGTGTTTAGGTTTACATCTTATTTTATTGGTTTTTGACACGTTTTGGCTGGAAATAAGGTGCCATGTTTTTATTGTAGTGACTAAGGTTAGCCGTAACTATGGAATTTAACCCTAAAAATGGCAAGACCATAAAGAGACTGTAAACTATTTTCCATCTTATTGGGACACAAATAATACAACTTGATCATTTTTTTCAAAACATGACTTTTAATTTTGATTTTAATGTTTGTATCCCACAGGATACGTTGCCGTTTGGGGGTATAAAGTCACTGAAAACAGAACACTTGTTTATCAATGCTTGTTATAGCATGGTTGTAATTCCTGAACGCTTTGGCATATAGCAGATTATTGCTGAAGTGAAAGCATTAAAAAAATAAATAAATAAAGTATAAAAAAGTTATAGAAGTTTAAGTTGGCAGTAAAGATAATGCAGTATAGACTATTTTTTTTTTAATATATATAAAATATAAAATATGTTGCTCTTCAAATTGTCTAACCAAGCTATGTTCCAAATTTGAAGTTGATATCACCAAAATTGTGGTTCCTGTGAGATTTTGTTTGGGCGCTATACCAAAAACAACCAATTCTATTGAATTCTTTTGACGCAGTTTTCTGTCACAAATCAATAATGTTCTGTCACAATATCACTTCTATTACAGAACAGTCACCAAATATGGAACCTTGACTGTCAGACCTTTCCAACGATATGTGTTTTGTCAAGATTTGACAAAAATATTTGATTTTCTAAAACACAAGCCACAAAATCACAGAGTATATATATATATATGTTTTTATATCTTGATTTATATCCCTAAAAGGGCGACGTATCCTTGAGATACAAACATTTAGAGACAGATTACAAAAAATGTAAGCATATAATTCATAAAATTTCAATGTAAACCTAATAAGCCAATGCTGAACAACAGCTTTTTAAACAGGCACGTCTCCTCCAACGTGTGTGAATGTGAACTAGATCAACTTTTATAGGAGGATGAGTAGATTTCCCATTACAGGCGGCCATGCATCAAGTATATATATATGTTTTTATATCTTGATTTATATCCCTAAAAGGGCGACGTATCCTTGAGATACAAACATTTAGAGACAGATTACAAAAAATGTAAGCATATAATTCATAAAATTTCAATGTAAACCTAATAAGCCAATGCTGAACAACAGCTTTTTAAACAGGCACGTCTCCTCCAACGTGTGTGAATGTGAACTAGATCAACTTTTATAGGAGGATGAGTAGATTTCCCATTACAGGCGGCCATGCAGTTTTAAATGCTGCCCGTGAGCTAAACAAAGAATTAATGAACAAAGTCAATATATCTAAATATTAACAACAAACACCCTTTCAACATGAAACCAAGAAATGAGGCCTACACTTTCCCTGCCTCTCCCCACAGCTTCTCAAATCTTCTCAAGTGTAACATGGTATTTTTTACAGTGAGTTTTGTTTGAACGATTAGCTTATTAGTAAACAGACTGCATTAATAGGCATATTATTATCCTTATAGACTTTATTTTAATATTTTACATGTAATTATGATAATTTAAACAGGCTTGCTTGGTAGCCTATATCCATCATATCATGCAAAATATTTAATTTCTAACAACCTGCAAGATAATCTACAATTAAACACGATTTTTAAATGTATCCAATAGCCAATCAGGTGATGGTCAAATGTGACAAAGATCTCGTTGTGTTTGAAGGAAAGTCATGCAAATGTTGTATTTTGCAAATTGCATCAATAACAACATTTAGGCTATTCCACAGTTTATATATAGTCTTCATATAGTCTTAAAAATCATTTTGTACTTTTATATTATTTAGCTATATTTTAAACTTTTTTTTAATTATTCGTATTATCTTACATTTCTGAAATATAAAATAATAATTTAAAAACGGTGTGTGTGTGTGTGTTCTTGTTTATCCTAACAAGACCAAATGTCCTGTAAAATGCTGTAAAACAAAAACAAAACACAATAACATCACAGAAAATGTTAATGGTTTCCACTACAAATACCATTACAAAGCCAACTTTTAACCATTAAAAAATGGTTTCCTGTATAGTGTGTTGTGGGACATATTCCATTAGGATTTATTGGTTTTAACAAGCCACCAATAGAAGGTGACATATTTCCAGTAGAGACCCACAGGGTCCATTACACTTTCCATTAAAAGTCCCATTATAACCAGTAAAACCACTACACATTTTGTGATGGTGTCTATTGTTTGTTTTTTTTTCAGCATTAAAAACTTGAAGTTTCCCACATGGGAAAAAAATATTACAAATACCAAATGATCTGAAAGTGTAACAGTGCAAAACAAGTTTTCTGTAAAGGGTCGGTTTAGGGTTAGGGGATAGAAAATAACGTTTGATCAGTATAAGAACAATATTCACAGAAACCTAACATGTGTGGCTGCTCTTCACTTTGCTCTTGATAATAGTTATTATAGTAGCTATGATATATATGCACAGGTTGGATTTATTAACAGAAACATGCTAAACTTTAAAAAGTGCTATTCACATACAGAGAGCCTGTAATCTAATCACGGATAACAATGAACAGCCGCGAAGATGGAGGTCAGTAATGAGGTGAGACTGACCTCTGCTGGTGGACTGTACAAGAAGAGCTTCTTCTTCAGTCTGTTGAAGTGGATCAACAAATAAAGAGCATGTTTCATTACATACAGAGGAGAGAACGACTAGTAAAAACTTTAGCCTTAATCTGTGTGTTGATGAATATTATTAATAATGGTTTTGAATCTTAACTTCACGTGTTGTGTTTTATAGAATCAAAGAAACTCTTAAAAATCAAGGGAACTTTTAAGAGACGACAAAAGCAGCTTGTGGTAAAAAATAAATACATATGTCCCTAACATCAAAAATCAGTGATTGATCAATTGTGATTGATTGCTGTTTACTGATCAGATTAATTGGTGACAGAGAAAAGAGCTATTTTGATAGCACAAACAGCGTTATTCTCATGTAAATGTACATTTTTTTGTCTCTTATATTGGACTGCAATTATATCTACATGTTGAGATGTCAGATGTCCTGTTATCAGTTGATTAAAACCTTTGCATCTTGCTAAAACATGAGTCTATGATCCATAATAGCACATCGAATAGTGAAAAAGTGCATCATCTGTTGTCTCTCACATCAAAATCCAGCCACATGTTTGTTTAGAGCTGTTTAAACGCTGCTTGATCTGTGTAGATTTCTCTCCTGATTCAGACCAGAACACTTTATTATGGATTATGAACTCATATTTTAGCATGAAGGTAATAAGTTAATAACATCGTAATGCTGGATTTGTTTCAGCTTTTGTCTTCTCCAGATGTTAACTGATGGACTGGAGTGCTGTGGATTACTTGTGGATTATTGTGATGTTTTTATCAGCTGTTTGGACTCTCATTCTGACGGCACCCATTCACTGCAGAGCATCCATTGCTGAGACACTGATGCAATGCTGCATTTCTCCAAACCTGATGAAAAAACAAACTCATCCTAATCTTGGATGGCCTGAGGATGAGGATGTTTTCATTACATTTTTATTTCTGGGTCAACTATTGCTTTGATTAAGCTGAGCAGTGATGCAGAAAAGGAGATGGATTTTAATATACTGTATAGTAAATGTAATTGTATTTGTTATGCAGTACATCTCTATAATACACTGTAACAGCATTGCCATATTTAAAAAAACACCTTTTCTTCATAATCAGATATTACAGTTTTTTCAGCTGCTTTCACACATTTTCAAAACTTTGCCTCTTTTTTTCCAAACTTTACACACAAATCCAAGAATTGCACACAGAATGCAAAATGCATCTGCAGATGTGTTTGTGATATTTTGAATGCAGTGCTTCGTTTTGCAAGAGATGTGAGGCATTTTGCATTTTGTGTGTGCAATTCTTGGATTTGTGTGTAAAGTTTGGAAAAAAAGAGGCAAAGTTTTGAAAATGTGTGAAAGCAGCTGAAAAAAACCCCTGTAATTCCTGTTAGATTTGTGTGTGTTACATAGAGAATTGTGTGCTGTGTTTTGCAAAAAGTGTTTTATGAAACTGAGTCAAAGGCTGAGAATTAGCGTATGGTTCTGCAGATTTAATGTGTGCTTCTGCTGTTTGAGTGCCAGCTTTCAGTAATTGTGTGACAAGTAAAGATTTTGTGTGTAAGCAGTTGAAAAAAAACGGTAACAGGACCCTTTTAATGGTCATCAGTTTGGATGGAAAGCTGAGCTGCAAGTTCATTTCAGCTGCACTCAAGGTGCCTCTATTAGTACATCATCTGTGGAAAACGAACCCTTCCTGACGCTAATCATCTGCTTCCTGATCACACACGTGCCTGCAATCCAAACAGATGATTGAAGCAGGCCTCTTCAAACCCTAAATCCACACTTACACACTCTCTCTCTGTCACAAGTGGTCAAAAGACATGCAAAAGACATTGACAAAAACAGCACACTTAGGTTTCCAATGACTTTTTAAAAAGCATTAAAGACACAAATCTTGTGCTGTGAGATGTTAGACATGTCTACCTGTTAGATACGTGTGATTAACATATTTAACATAACACTGAAATGTTAATGATCAAAACATAATGTAGAACTGTGCTATACGTACAAAATGTAATTCCAAATTACACGACAAAAAATTTAATCAGTAATATAGACTATTTCATTACATTACGCATTTAGATAATGTAATCAGACTACGTTTTGATTACTTTTGACCTAACTGATTTAAAAAGGATAATCTAGTATCATACTGATATAAAGAAAAATAAAATATATTCCATTACATTACGTCAA